CCCCCGCCCTAAATCCGCTGGTGATTGCAGATGTTAAATAGATGGAACCAAAATGCGAAACGATATTTGGTCCAGTTTGCCATGTTAAAAATAGCAGTTACTTTTTAAAAAGCCTACAAACAAGTAGATGATACAGGGGCGGTACTCCCCTTGTGAAAGTCCTCCGGAGGGCATTCATTTTGGCCCTCTATTCCTTGAATTATTCTAGAGGAGCCTCAGGCACAATTTATAGTAGTTTTGAGAAGACAGCAAAAAAACTATATTTTTTGGTTGAAGCCTTTAAAAAAAGTGTACAAAAATGGCCGATTTCAGAAATCCTCTGATTCTCTAGAGTAATTTTGGTCCGCATCTGCTGCAGGAAAAAATTCAAACCTCAAAGCAGAAAAAGTCATAAATGAAAGAAAACGCTGTTTCATAGTAAAACTTCCGCTTCAAAGCCCAGGGATTCGACCCCATCACCAACCAAAGGGTCCCCCCTTTAGTATTTTCTATGACATCCATTTTAGGTGGAACCGACCCTTCGACGCCAATATATACTAATTTTGATTGAGCGCCGGCCGAAAAACCCATTTTTTGGTAAAAAGTCTCCAAAAAACGGCTATTTGGACCTATTTTTTTTTTCAAAAGTGTGTCTGCGGCGCAAAACTAATGGTAATATAGATTCTTTATAATGGTCTAGGACCGCTCAGAAAATCAAATTTGTCGACGTGAAAAAAGGTCAAAAATTCGAAAAAAAACTTGAAAATTACCCCCCCCCCTCCCCACGAGAAAATCTCTGAATCTAAGATAGATGTCAGATATTAAATTCACATTTCTTTTTCGAAAATTTTACTGGATCAAAGTAACAACTTCCTCTTCAATAGACCAAGTTAAAACAATCCAATATAAAAAGTTCTTATACATTTTCATTTATAAAAACATGGCATTTAATGTTTTGAAACCAATCCGAACGAATATTCCCAGGTTAATTGTTCACACGGGGAAATGAGATGATTGAAGACAAACTCCAGAAGCCTCAAGGAAAAATAATTAATTACAAGACGGACTGAAAACTGATCAAATTTCAGACGCGATCCCGTAAAAGCCTGGAAGGCTATTCGTAACAGGCGACAATTCGTAACAAGCAACAATTCGTAACAAGTTATTGGCAAGAAGGTACCGCTTGCTTGGAATGCGGTCAAAAATTAGACAAGTCACTGAGCAGACAAAATCTTGCAAACCAATCACGTCGTAAGCCAATCAGAATCGAGATAAGAAAACAAGCGTCCACCAAATATTTTCTTTTCTCGATTCTGATTGGATCACGACGTGTCTATTTTATGATCGGTCAAATTTTTTGCATCGTATTCTGTTTTCTCTGCTTTGTCGGCACGAAACGTATGCTGAGTGTGAATCCATAAAACGAAAACTCGCAACAAACGACAACTCGCAATATACTCAACGCCGTAGTCGTACCAACGTCGTAAAGCGAACTTGATAACAGAGGGTAGGTTTTATCCGATTACGTAGAAAAAATCAGATATGTCATAAAGTAGACACGTCGCAAGCCAATCAGAATAGAGAAAAGAAAATACTCCGTACGTTTGTTTTCTTATCTCGATTGCGATTGGCTTACGACTTGTCTACTTTAAGACATATGTCTACTTTTTGACCGTACTCCATTTTATTTAAAGTTTGACCCGGCGACCTTAACCCAAATTACGAATTTGTCGCACTTTCGGAAAATTAGAAATTCTAAACAATGCGAAACTACAAGCGAACTCGCACGCAGTTTTCCGAAGACCAAATCTGTGCCCTGGAAAAGTTGTTCGAAGAAAGTCACTACCCAGACTCTTCTGCCCGGAATGAACTGGTTGCCGCAACTGGCTTGACAGACTCCAAAATCCAAGTGTGGTTCCAGAATAGACGAGCTAAGGTAAAAGCTATAAATTTTAGCCTCAATCCTATTGCAATTTTATAAGTTATTGAGATCTGCATAGATACTATGATGCTAGAAGAATTTTGAGCATAGTTATTATTTATTGATAAAGATATAGAAAACCACAACAATAACAATAGTGACAGTTGATTTTTAAAAGCAACAATTTTTCCCTTAGATCAGGGCGGCTCTAGGATTTTCTCGAGGGGGGGGGCGGATTTTCAAAAAATTGTCGAAAATTTTGACGACCTTTTTTTTTTGGTCGATCAAATTGATTTTTTTTCGAGCTCTCCCAAAGCACGGTTTTGTCCCTATTTTGGCCAAATTTTTTGCGCCGCAGGCAAAATTTTGAAAAAACTGGTCAAAAAAGGCGTTGTTAGGCACTTTTGGGAAAATTTTGACCAAAAAATTGCGTTTTTTCGGCGCGCGCTCCCCCCTCAAAAGTAGTATATATTGGCGCCAAAGGCGCCTTTAGAAAATTTTTAGGGTCGGTCGGCCAAAAATGGATTTCTTAAAAAGTATCAAAGGGGGGACCCTTTGGGTCGGCAGGGGGTCGAATCCCTGAGGGGGAAGGGCGTCCGCCCCCCCCCCTAAATCCGCCCCTGCCTTAGATCAAATTATATTTTCAAGTTTTTTTGATGATAACCTTAACAATTTTCAATAATCTTAGTAGTTGGGTGTTTCGGTACCTGGCTTATTACTGCAAAAATCATGTTTTTTTAAAGATTGAACAAAGGCGATTGAAAAAATTTTTCAGTTGATATTTTGGGGCTCAAACCTTTTCGAGCGCCCTATACATTTGAGTATAAACCCACCGAAGGATAAGCCAGCTACCATATAAACCAGCCAAAACTTACTGAGTTGTTATATAATAATCGAGGAACATTTAACTAACAATCACGACAATCTTGCCAATTTCAATATAAAAGACGCACATTTTGAGTGGTTTACATTTTCTGCTAGTTTTCGATTCGTTTTATTCTTCGGCTGGTTTGATCACACTCGTATGTTTCAGGCCCGAAAGGAGAAGTATGTGGCTCCGTTGACTTCGTGCTACTGCAAAAAATACCATAACGCAATCGAATGGGAAGCGATCCCGCAACAGAGCTTCTCAAGTGGTGTTGCGGCAGATGTGCAAATCAGTAGGGACCACAGGGCCAATCTTCGCTCTTGTCGACTTTTTGACCAAGGTAGTAGCACAGAATGTTCCAACAACGGTTAACATTGCAACAAATTAGATGAGCTAATAAATTCTCCTACTTCCGCCAAACTTACATCTATTTTTATAATTGTTTTGCGTGTATTTGTGTTAAGATTTTTTCATTTAATTAAAGATCCTCTGCCAAATTGAGTTAGGACCGAAGTGTATAACTCATAGAGTAATTTCGGATAGGGTACAATGTCTGCTCGTCACGCTATCTTATTTTCGGCCGGATAGATTCGTGCAACTTCTTAGTCTAATACCGATCCTAATCTTACTCTTATACTATCTAGTCTCAGGTTGTTTAACTAGTCTCTGCTAGGCTCAATAGATCTAGGGTATACTGGTTTATTGCGGCAGCTGAAGTCTTCTTGGAGAGTCAACTAATTTCTAAGTTAAATTCAAATCTCTCTGGTGCTGAAATTACAAGTAATTTCAGCACTTAGAAATAAGTGGATTGTTAGTCAGATGGATCATGATTGGTTAATATTAAATACTTTACATTGGTAAAATATCTAATTTATCCAATCATAAAATGTAGTTTAGATCAGGTTCCACCCATCCGGGTTTTACAGATTTTTTTAGAATAGTCTTTCTGTAATTCAAAGGATAGATGATGGACGTTGGTATTTGGCGAACATCATATTTCTTCTGGGTTCTCTTGTTAGAGAAGTTCCAGGTTCAATCGTTGTGTCTTCTCATGACAACGACTGGGTTTTCGCAACAAACTCAAATCTGATTTCAGAATGGTTGGCTATGTCAGGTTTTTCTGTTTCATTGATGAGAACTTCTTTGTGTTTGATCTTGTCTGGGAATGGCGTGGAGATTGTGCGTGGAGGGGATGCCTGGTTACTCGGATCTGTACGTATACTTGAACATCGAGGTGGTCATTGGTCTAGTTCAATGAAGTCCTTTTCTGCGAAGTCAAGTCGTTCTCTAAATCCTTTGAGTTGTGTTTGTGAGCGGCATATCGATTGTGGTTGGCCATTCTTTTTCGAGTGTAGTGGGGTCGTTTTGTCTTTGGATGTTCGTCCTTGGTGTTGTATGCTGATCTATATATTGCATAATATAATTTACATTTTATAAAACTTTTATTAGTTTAATGTTTTTTAATTATGATTTTGGTTAGTTGTTTTCACAAAAGCTTTTGTTTTAGTTCAGTTATTTTGAAGAGTTACTCACCCTTGAGTAGCTCTTATTAAAAATAGGAGTGTGGTCACAAAGCGTGGATGTAGCACGGTGGGTTAGGCCGGCTATAGAGCATGCTCGGGACGTCCTCTTCTGGTGGGTTAGGCCAGGAGTGGGAGTATGATTGCATGCGGTTTTTGCGAGAGGTCCTGTTATGTGACAACGTTTTATGTTAGGTTTGTTGTGGTTTTTCTTATGTTTTGTTGGTTGTGTCCTTTTTTCAAAAATCAAATTGTTTGTGGTATGGGTTTGTCTTTCGACTTTTTTGTGTTTTATTATTTCTTTCTTAGACTTTATAATAGTCTTCAAAAGAATAAATTATCCAGTTTTAAACTGGGTTAATCCGGTTTGGGTACCGTTGGTTTCCTTTTCTTAGTCATGCTGTTATTCTATGATTTGTGGTGTTTAGTAAGCTGCGTTGGTTAGTGTTGTTTAGTATATAATTCCTTTCCAACCGGGTTAAAGGAAAGTTTGAAACGTGTTATCTTATGTTAGAGTTGTTGAGTGTGAAAGCTTGAAACTGAAATTCATTATTTTAAACAATTCTTCGTGGGCGAGCTGTGCGAGTGTGGATAGGATTTTTGTGCGAATGAATGGAAATATCAAAAGGTTAGTACTGCATTTTCGTTTTATCAATTTATTACATAGAAATTCAAATTTTACTGCTATTTGTTGGGAAAAATTAAGTTACAAATTTTCATCATTAGTAGATTTACTGCTTGTGGGGAAAAAATTTATAAATTAAATTACTGCATTGGTATTATATTTATTTAATTGTTGGTGCAAAAAATTAATAGAGTTTTAAACAGTTTTGAAGAAGTTTTCTATTTTTTATTTTTCGTTTGTGAATTTTTCAGATGATCGTTGGATGAAGGCTAAAATTCTAAAGAAGACTTGGATAAAGAATGGTTAGTTTCTAATTTTTATTTTAATTAGTTAATAATATGTATAATTCATACTTACCTGTTAGTCGTCGGGGAAGAAACCGTGGGGGAAGATGTCGTGGATGAGATCTGAAGTTGTTAGTAATTTAGCTAAGATGCGGATGATATTTTTAGTTTGAAGCAGTGGCCAAAGCAATTGAAGTGCTTTAATGGTGGTTAGTTCTTCAGTGCCAACTGCAAACTCATAAGGTGTGTTTTGGATTAGATTATATAATTTGTGATTGAATTTAGTGTTGTGGATGAATTCTAAAATGGGGATTTCTATAGGTTGAACAAATTCGTGTGGGAGAAGGAAGGGTCGGGATTCTTCTGCGTTGAAGGTCTTGGTGATGGGACAAAAAATATACATTTGGGTTATGGGATCATAATTTCGAAGAATACCATGAAGGTTAGTATCTTTAATGCAATATGTGAAGTTAAGAAAGAATGGTGAGGTGTATTTGGAATTGATGAATTGGAAACGGTGGTGTGGTTGTCTGGAGGGAGTGTGTAGGTCGAAGTGATTTTCGATAAAACGATAATATGTATATGTGTGAGTTTGTTTAGTGCGCAACATAATATTGTGTGAGCAGTGCAAATCTCTTTCATGTGGTGCAAGGAAATGAAAGGTTAGTGAAAATATTTGGAAGCGTTCTTTAAAACTTTCGTAGGCTTGCGTGTCTGTTAGTGCTTCTGAGATGATGTGGTCAAATTTGCGATCAAATATATTGAGTGTAAATACATATGGTGTTTTAATGAAAAATTTTTCTGTGATTTGTGGGTTAGCGAAGCGGTCATCGTCTAAGAACTGATCTTGGTTAGTTCTGATGATGTTATGATCGTAATATTCTAGCGTATATTCGTTAGCTCGGGGTGCAGTGTATGTTTTTAGTGATTTTTTATATCCTATGTAAGTAAATTGTCTAGGTGTTAGTGGTGTAGTGAGTCGATATATATAGCATGTCCTTATTTCGTTCTATATCGATGTGAGTGTTAGATAAAGGTAAGCAAAGGGGATTAGTAAAATGATAATATGAGGTCCAAGGAAGGGTAGGCATTAAAACGTGTTCGTCTACAAAGCTACGTGTTTCGTTAGTATCGTGAGGGGTGTTTAAGGTGTATTGTGGAAATGAGGGTAAGGTGATAGCCAAAAATTCTTTTGTGTTAGTGTGATTTGGATGATTTATATATTCACGGGCTGTTCCTGGTTTTGCTGGGAAAGGATGGTTGGGGAACTTTCTTTTAAAAGTGCGGTAAGCTCTATTAGTGCTGAGTGAAGATTCAGTAGATGTGGATGATGGTGCTAATGATTCGGTATAAATTGAAGAGGGTGTAGGGGTAGGAGGGTTGGATGAATCTATTGTGGATGAAATTTGGTTTATGGTGGGGGTGTCAAGGTGGTAGGGTTGTTGTTGTAAGGTAATAAAATTATCTAGTTCTGGGGAGATTTGGGGGGTATCTGGAGAATTGGATGATCGGTCTGAATGAAGGGAAGAATAGGTTGGAGTGACTTGGGAAGCATAAGAGGGTGTAGAATTGGTGAGGACAGGGTTATTTGGTAGTATTGGTTGAAAAGGGGGTTGGGAAAAAATTGAGGGGTTGGTGTGAAAATTATTGGATGGAGATGGTTCAGAGTCGGCAAATTCATCGGGGGTTTCAATATTTGGGTTATTGAGTTGTGAGGTGGAGTATAAAACTGAGATGTGTGAATTAGTATCGGAATTCATGCCTGATGTTACATTACTGGTTGGGAAATCGGGTGGTGGGAAAGCAAAAAGTGGTATTATTGTAATTGGAGTAGTGAGGTTGGTTGGATGGGAATTTGAACGGTGTAGGGATCCAAGTTGTCGGCTCATCGTGGGCTAAAAAAATTATTATTTTGAGACTGAAAAGCGGTGGTATGGGGTTGTTCTATAATTTGTTCATAAGTATTTTCATGAGTGGTGTGTCATTATATGTTGGATGGGACTTTGTGATATGGTTGGTCTAAAATTTGGATTATGTGTTATTGCTAAATTTCGAAAATTACGTGGGACTAGGGATAATGGATGGTTATGTGGTAGGGGTGGTAACTGTGGTGCTGTTGGCGTTGTGTCTACATTGTTATGTTCTTCGTCGTATGTGCTCTGTCTTGTTGCTATTTTTGTGTTGTATTCTTTTATTTGTGCGTCTAAAAGAATTTTGTTTATTGATGTAGAAAAAATTCCGAAAAATCCTGCAAATAGTATGCGTGCTACACTTGCTTGTCTGTTTACTTGTGTGTGTATAGCACATGTGTTGTAGATTCCTTTTAAGAGTGAAAAAAGAAATCCAATAAAGTTAAACATTGCGTATAAAATAGTCAGTTTTTCTAAGATGTAGTAGGGCCATCCTAGAAAATCAAGAATTTCATTTTTGAGTGTAACAAAGCTAAAAATATTAGTAGGTGATATATCTTGGGGACGGTATTTTTCACCGTTTAGATATATATAATCTTTAATGTCTTTAAAATATCCGCTATAGTCTTGCGTATAGATGTCTGCAAATCCTGCGGTTTCGGCAAGTTTGCGTAAGTTTTGGTCAATTGATTGTCTTTGTATTGTGTCCATTTGTGTTAATAATTCTTGGAATTGTTGTGTTCTAATGTGATGTTGAATATCTGATTTTGAGTATATTCCTATTGATTGTAAGTCTATATTTGGGTTTCGAGCAATAGCGCGAATGCTTTCTGGTGAAAATTTTTTGAGTGATTGCATTAATGTGGGATATGGGGTGAGAAGGTAATATTTATCTTCATCAGGGTTTAGTTGTACTACATTGTGGCTATTTTCTGATCCACATGGGACTGCGGTATCCCAGAAATAGGTTCTTCTTGAAAGTGTGTCAACGAAATGTACTTTATTCTTATAAAAGACAGGGATTCTTTTATAG